TGAGCATCCCCAGGCCATCGCCCTCCTTCATTCCCAGAGCACCCACCTTCCGCTTCGGGAGGGTCAACAACCTTGTTTGCCTTCCTGTCCTCTTCCTGTCGGCATCCCAGCCCTCCGCTGAGGAGCAGCAGGACAGGGGAATGCTGAACCCTTACACTGCCTCTGAAACACTCTGAGTCCTTCAGGAGGCTGGGGGGGGGCTGATGGGAGATGATCCCCATCTACCTTGGGGGGATGGCTGCTCAACACCAATGTGAATAACAGGGCACAGGCCCCCCACGGTGGCTCGGGGCTGAACGGCTGACAAAAAGCAAGCTCCACCAGCTCCTTGGGCCTCCCAATGCTGAACCCTTACACTGCCTCTGAAACACTCTGAGTCCTTCAGGAGGCTGGGGGGGGGCTGATGGGAGATGATCCCCATCTACCTTGGGGGGATGGCTGCTCAACACCAATGTGAATAACAGGGCACAGGCCCCCCACGGTGGCTCGGGGCTGAACGGCTGACAAAAAGCAAGCTCCACCAGCTCCTTGGGCCTCCCACCCAGGCAGTCCCATACCCCACCAGCAGCAAACCAGGACCAAGTTTCCAGGAGCACAAGCTGCAAGGAACAGGACACCCAGGGGCATTTATAAAGATCCATCCATCATCCCTTACTGGGATCAGACCAGGTCCTGCTGGTTTTCCACCTATCTCCCTCTCCCAGCCCATTAGCCCTCCAGGAAGGTCAATTAGGTAAAAACTGCTGCAGGTGGGGTTTGCATCATTAGCAACAGGTAATTGGAAACTCCCACCCAGCTCGGAGAGCCTGTCCTGACGCTGTGTTTGCTATCAGCATGTTTATGAGACAGCATTTCCACAGGGGGATGGGGAGGCCTGATTTAATTAATTACCAGTAATTAATATTTGCACAATGCTCAGAGAGCCACAGGTGAAGGGGACTGTGGAAAAGCAAAGCATTCACCCTTTAATTAATGACGAGAGGTGGTGCCACTGTGGGAAGCTGAGGTGGGTGGGTGCCGCTGGGGCTGAGCGCTGGCGTGTGCAGCGAGGTGTGAGCAAGCGGGTGCTGGCTGCCTGTAGGGGAGATGTCCCTGCCGGGTGCTGTGGGAGTCAGCATGGGGTCCAGCTCCAGGGGGTGCTGGGTGCCTGCCTGGGTGCGACCCGAGCTGGGGTGGATGCCGGAGGTGAGGGGGAGCAGCAGCGGTGTGTCAGGGTAGACGATGCTCTCCGGAGGCGTCCCGCCTCCCGTCG